TACCTCCAGATAAGTTGGCAACCCCCTGTGTTCCCATAGCAATCTTCTGAACATTTTTTCTTATCACATTCTCATTCCTAATTCAATACCTGTCTTTCTCATGAATCCATAAACTCTATTAACAGCAAGAGCCTGTCCTGTTCAGCTATTCCGTTCCTAGTGACTACTAAAATGACTGAAATACAGTAGAGATGCTTAATAAATACATAAAACAGTAAGAGGATTAAAACAAATCAAAACATGGACTTAATAAATTATGGCATGTTAAAACTATAGAAACATCTCCTATAACTCAAAAAAAAAAAACTTAAACAAAAGAAAATACATAACACATTTGCTCATTCCATCCAAAGATCAAAATTCCATTTAACTAAATTTGTGGTTTAGGTTTCTTTAAAAAAGTGACTGCTGCTACATAACACAACTATTTGTCCCACACCATCATATCTTTGCCCTTTAAGTTTGATATGTTATATTTTGTGTTTATATTTGATTTGTTGGTTCAGTATCACTCTCCCAGTACAGACTGTTTAAATATAATTTAAGATTTCAAAACCAAGCACAAATTAACAACTTAATTTTATCCCTCTGTACAAATACCAAAAATATCTGGCAACCCAAAGAAGAAGAAAAAGGCTCTAGTAAGTTGTATAAGAGGTTATGATACAATCAAGCAAGGAATCAATGTTCAGAAACTATTTCAAGAAAAAATTGTAGCTCTGGCTGGGTTACTCAGTTGGTAAGAATGTTGTCCCGTACACCAAAAAGGTGGCAGGTTTGTCCGACCAGCATAACTCAGTGGTTCAGCATCAACCTATGAACCAAGAGGTCACGATTCAATTCCTGATTAGGGCACATGCCACATCCTTAGTATTTTTATAGAATTCAACTGTATTCAATTGCTCTTCTTTATGAGCTGACATCTATTTGTGCTCCCTAAACTACTTCTGCTTCTCAAAGTCTACTGGTCTATCTACAGCGTTAAAAGTATCCTAGGTTTCTGCTATCCCATTCATTATACGACAAAAATAGCCCTGGCAACTGTAACTTGGTTAGAGCATCATCCCATGCATGGAAGGGTTGCAGGTTCAATTCCTAGTTGGGACACACACCCAGGTTTTGAGTTTGATCTCCAGTAGGGGCAAGTGTGGAAGGCAACTGGTCAGTGTTTCTAACATGGATGTTACTCTTTCTCTCTCCTTCTCTCTCTTCTTCTCTCTCTAAAAACAATAAAAACATGTCTTTGAGTGAAGATTAAAAATTAATAATATAGCCTGGCCAATGTAACTCAGTGATTGAGCATCAACCCATATACCAAGAAGTTACATTCCTCTCTCTCTAAAACCAATAAAAACATATTTTTTTTAAAATTTAATAGTAATAGCCAAAACCGGTTTGGCTCAGTGGATAGAGGGTTGGCCTGCGGACTGAAAGGTCCCAGGTTCGATTCCGGTCAAGGGCTTGTGCCTTGGTTGCGGGCACATCCCCAGTAGGGGATGTGCAAGAGGCAGCTGATTGATGATTCTCTCTCATCGATGTTTCTAACTCTCTATCCCTCTCTCTTCCTTCTGTAAAAAATCAATAATATAGATAGATAGATAGATAGATAGATAGATTTTTTTTTTTAAGGCAGTTAGAATCTCAACTTTTCCTTTTGGCATTCCCACTATATTTGGAATATAGTATTAAATTTATTTTGAGGTGGTGGCTAAAAACTTAGGGAGGCTTAATGCTTGCATATTATTTCATGGTACTAAAAAAGAATGAGTAATTTTAAAATAACTGAAGTTAAGAGTCATAAAATGAAATGCTGTCACTAAAATTTTTACCTAGAAAATAAATAGACCCTAAATTGAATCTTTTTCTTTTTTTTTCTTTTTTTTTTTAACAGAGAGGAAGAGAGAGGGATAGAGTCAGAAACATCGATGAGAGAGAATCACTGATCAGCTTGCTCCTGCACATCCCCCACCGGAGATGTGCCTGCAATCAAGGCACATGCCCTTGACCGGAATCGAACCCGGGACCCTTCAGTCCGCAGGCAGATGCTCTATCCACTGAGCCAAATCGGTTTCGGCCTAAATTGAATCTTTTTCCCTCCTTCAAATCAAAGTAGGAGACTTTATAACAAATATTTTTCCCTACAACAATCATTACATTACAATATGGAAAATAAGTTATTTTCAGTAATACATTTATTTCCATGTACAAAATACTTTGTTTCATAGTATTTCTTATTATCTGCCTTTCCATCCATTAAAATACTTCTTAAGCATCTTACTATAAATGTAAACAATAACACATTAAATATTAGCCAGGCTCTTTGCCTATGAGGAATAAAAAGTCATAGAAAAATAAACAAGAAATACATACATGAAAAGAAACAGAATAAATATAATGTAATACAGAGAAGTGATTTAAAAGTTCCAAGGAAGGTGTAGGTAAACTTCAAAGAAGTAGAACTTGAACTGAGCACTAAAAGATGGTGAAAATTATTTAAGATAAATGATACAGAATAAATTGTACTTGGTTTAAAAAGCAATCAGAAGATCATTCTGGGTGAAACAGACAATGTTGGGGAGTGAAGTAAGTTTAGATTAGACCAAATTTAATTTACAGAGAATACTTAAAGACAAATTAAGAAATCTGGCTAATAATTGTAAATTGAAGATTTCAGAGCAATAAGCTGGCATGAATAAGGAAGTGGCATCTCATAGCATGAAGTTTAAATGATAAATGGAGTAGAAGTGGAGAAACCTATTAAGTAATAAATCAAGATTACACCAATAAAAAAAAGTACAAAAAGAGTAAATTTACTAATTACAGCAGGCAAGTAAGAGAGTCTGACAAAATTACTCAAAAATTTTGTATTTAAGTATCCCTGACAGAAAGAAAAAAGAAAAAAAATTGGGGTTTAAGTCAGCCAGGTCTAGGCCAAATCTGGCTTTGTAATTTTAAAGAAGTTAACTTATTTGAGCCTTAGTTTCCTCGGATGTAAAAAGATATTTACCACGTTTGGGTGCTGAGAGGATTAAATAAGAAAATGCATATAAGGTATCTATGCACTTGGAACACAACAAACACTAATAACTGATTTTTACCTCTCCCTCTTGGCTCCCTGTTCTTTATCCCTTAATAATTCTAAGAATTGAGCAATATGGAAGCAACCTATATGCAAATTGCATTTTAGAGCTGATGATATTGAATTTTTGAGATATTAAATGACTTATTCAATGGCATACAACCAGGTACCTTCACTATTAGTACCAAAGATATACTGACCATAAAACACATAAAAAGTAGTAGAAAACTATGAACATAATATCTTTTTTTTTTTCATGGCACCAAGAATTTATTCCATCTCCTAGTTAAAAAACAAAACAAACAAAAAAAAAAAACACTTTGTATATAAAAATCATTCTGGCATAATCCTACCATAAAATCTTCTTTAAAAACATATCCTCTAATAACACAATAGAGGATCTAATTCATAAATATAAAGTTATTTAAATAACTGTTTCCTTAACAATATAAAAAGGGTAATACATTTTATTAAAAAAAAAAATTTTTTTTTAATGTGTATACCAAATTCCAGTGTAGGCCAAATTTCTATCGGGTCTAGTAATAATTAATGTCGTTTTTAAACGTTCGTTTAAAATCTTGCTTGGCGTTGACTTGTATTGACATAACCTTCAAACACGTGGTATTTACAGAACGTGTGAAGTGCAATTAACAAGTTTTGCTTGAAAAAGTTTGTGTTTGGTTTGGTTTTTGTTGCAAAACTAGGGCTAAGAAGATGGCGGATGAAGAGCATATTCGGCACTGCATGCTTTACGAGTTCCAATTAGGAAGAAAAGCAAGTGAGGCTGCAAAAAACATCTGTAGTGCTCTTGGTCAAGATGCAGTTAGCGCCAGAAAATGCCAGCGTTGGTTTGAGAAATTTCGCGAGGGAAATTTTTCGTTAGATGACAAGAGTGGTCGAGGCCGTGTGTCCAATTTTGATCAAGAAGCTCTTCAAGCTCTTTTGGTGCAAAATCCTCAAATTACCCAACAAGAGCTTGCGACAACTTTAAATTGTTCACAGAAAACAATTTCCAATCAATTGCGTGCACTTGGCAAAGTCCAAAAGTTTGGAAAATGGGTTCCTCATGAGTTGACCGACAACAACCGTAATCAAAGAGTCACAATTTGCAGTTTGCTCCTCTCTCGTCAAAACCGTTTGCCGTTTTTAGAGCAAATTGTTACCGGAGATAAAAAATGGGTGCTGTATGTTCATTTGAAAAGGCGGCCTCAATGGTTGGACAAAAATGAGGCTCCGCAGCCCACGCCAAAACCTGACTTGCATGCGAAAAAAGTGATGTTGTGTGTTTGGTGGAATTTTAAAGGAATTCTTCATTATGAACTTTTACCATCTAACCAAACCATTACAAGTGCAGTGTATAGTGCCCAATTGGAAAGGTTAGCCCAAGCTTTAAGAGAAAAAGAACCCGCGCTGATTAATCGGAAGGGCTCAATTCTTCACCAAGATAACGCACGACCGCATACTGCAAGAATCACTGCTGAAAAACTGCGCCAGTTGGAATGGGAAGTTCTCCCTCAACCTGCATATTCTCCTGATATTGCCCCTTCTGATTACCATTTGTTTCGTTCTTTGCAAAACTTTCTTCTTGGAAAAAAATTTAATAATGAAGAATGCCTCAAAAATGCATTGACCGAATTTTTTGCATCAAAATCACAAGAATTTTACAACATAGGGATTAAAATGCTTCCTGAGCGTTGGGCACAAGTAGTAGAAAACAACGGCAACTATATTGTTGATTAAATTTTGTTGTATTGTTTAAATAAATTCGATTTAAAAAAGTATTAGAAAAGGAAATTATTACTAGACCTAATAAATAAGGACCTTTCCATTAGAAACGGTAAATTAAGAATATAAATTTCTTCTTTTAATTTAGATTGAATATAGGTGAAATTCAAACACAGTCAGGAGTTAATTTACTCACCTTCCATGGGCATGGAAATCTAGACGTAAAAACTGGTCCTCGTGTGAAACTGCTCTTTTGGCACGGTGGTGTTTTTGGTGCAATGAATCCACATCATAAGATAATCCTTCATAATGTCTAATATATTTAGTTAAAGGATTTCCATACTGACCTATGAAAAATAAATACTTTGAATTAGAATCCTCTTGAAGGCTCATTCTTAGTTCTATCATGATTCCATGACTCAAATATCTACAAATATATATGAAATAATTTTCTCACTAATCCTAATACTTTACTTTCACATTTTTTTTTTAATTTGTTGTAATGGGAATTTCAACCATACACAAAAATTTGGATGTTAGCCATAGATCTGTCTTAGATGTACATACATTTTTCAAAAATTCATTGTAATGGAAATTCAACCATACACTAGTTTGGATGTTAATTATTTTGTCTTAAATGTCTTTTATCAGATTAAGAATGGTCTCCTTCTCTTCATATTTTGCTGATAAAAACTATCAGAAACAGCCGGGACCGGTTTGGCTCAATGGATAGAGTCGGCTTAAGGACTGAAGGGTCCCGGGTTCGATTCCGGTCAAGGGCATGTACTTTGGTTGCGGGCATATCCCCGGTAGGGGGTGTGCAAGAGGCAGCTGATCGATGACTCTCTCATTGATGTTTCTAACTCTCTCTCTCTCTCCCTTCCTCTCTGTATAAAATCAATAAAATATATTTAAAAAAAAAAAAAACTATCAGAAACAAATGTTGACTTTTGTCACCTGTTCTTTCAGTATCAATTAAGATGATTATACTAATGTGTTTTTTCTTTTTAGATTATTAATATAGCAAAATGACTAATTTTCTAATGCTAAACCAATCTTGCATTACTGAAGTAAGTCCCACATAGTCATGGGGATTCAATTTGCTATAATTCTGCTTAGAATTTTTATCTATGTTCATGAGAGACAGTGATTATAGTTTTCTTGTACTTACTGTCTTTGTCAAGTTTTGATATCAAAGTAAAAAATGAGTCGGGGCCCCTGCTGGGTGGCACAGTTGGTTGAAGCATTGCCCCATATACGAAAAAGGTTGTGTGTTTATAAGTATTTTGCCACTCTTTCAATTCAGATAAAAGTATTTTGCCATTTCTGATAACTTAGAACAATAACTACTGCTGTGTCATTGAAACACATGTGATAAAAGCTCAATTATCTGCATGGATGGAACAAAACTGGGAGAGTTACTAAACAAAGTCAACTTTTCTCTGTCCCACACACAAAGAAACTTATAAAGCAACATAATGTTTACTTTTACTGGCAAAGGACCTGAGTATTGATTTCTGAATCTATAACTGAAATAGATCATAATTCACAGGGTTTAATTGGGAAGTTTAAAATGTTACTCAGGGACATAGAGTTATCAGTATACTTCATTATTATCTTCTACAAAAGATCTATGTTCCTATGCTAACTATGCCTAAATATCAGTGTTTATAACTCCAGTAATGTTAAAAAAATAAAAATTAAAAAAAAAAACTGAAGGTAAGATCATGTATTAAAACTGTATTATATAACTTTTCTCACCCCAATACTTAGTAAGAAAAGGGGGAATCATGAAAACAAAGAAACTATAAAAAGCAGTTTAGTCTTTCACTTAAGAAATATCCTCAAGATTAAAACTATAGAAGAAAAGGACATAACGAGTGTTTATGGAGCTGAAACAGGCTGATAAATTCAAATTCTATTTCCAACTGTTCAGTGGCATTATGTTGACAGTTTGAAAACAGCCATGGGAGGAGTTTTTACACTACTAAAATCAAAAAATGTTACATAAAAAAAATGTTTTTCTTGTTTTCAGGAGAGCCAGAGTACTAACACTGGCTAAAACCTGATCTCTCAAACAAGCAGCCAAGGAAATATACAATCTACTATAATGAGAAAAGCTTTAGCACACAGGACTTCTGATGTTGCCCCAAACTCTCAGATGTCATACAATTCACTTTTTTAAAATTCCCAAAGAGAACAGAGTTCTGGAATTCTCAAAAATGTTGTATATAACCATGGTCCCATGACTGTAGAAAAGGATAAAATACAAAATAAACAATCCCTCAAACTATGACTTGAAGGGAAAAAATATGCTGGTCTCAGAAACAAGAAAAAAAGGAATTGTCCATATAACATCACAGCAAAAAGAATAGTACAGAGAAAAGCCACACAACCATGAACATAATACTACCCAAACAAACTAGAACAAAAACAATGAAAGGAACAATAAAAGCAAAACAAAAGAGAACCCAATTGAGAAACAAAAAAAAAAACATTTGAAAACAATCCTGAACAAACTCAAATCATTCTTAGATGATATTAAGGAATTCCTACCATCCAAAGAAGAAAGACCTATAATATATAAAGCTTTGGATATAGCCCTCAGGAAAAAAGCAGTGTATTCATAAGGGTAAAATTAGCCACAGATTAAGTAGAGGATGTTCTGGAGATAACTTGACAAAGCATAAAGGAAATCATCCGAAGAATTTAATTGATTCCAAGTAGCTTAACTGTACAACAAAATAGTCTGTGTTTAGCCAAGACAGGTTTGGCTCAAGGGATAGAGCATTGGCTTGGGTATTGAAGGGTCCCGGGTACGATTCCGGTCAAGGGCATGTATCTTGGTTGCGGGCATATCCCCAGTAGGGGGTGTGCAAGAGGCAGCTGATCGATGACTCTCTCTCATCGATGTTTCTATCTCTCTCCCTTCCTCTCTATACAAAATCAATAAAATATATTAAAAAAAAAAAAAGTTGTCATTTAAAAAAAAAATAGTCTGTTTAAAGAAGACAAAAATTAAACACAAAAAAAGTAAAAATCAGAATGCTCGACATCTTATCATAAACTACCACGCATATAAAAAAAAAAACAGAAAAATATATATTTTCCAACCATAACTAAAAAAAAAATCAGACATTAGAAACACAAATTACAGCCGAAACCGGTTTGGTTCAATGGATAGAGCATCGGCTTGAGGACTGAAGGGTCCCGGGTTCGATTCCAGTCAAGGGCATGTACCTTGGTTGCGGGCATATCCCGTAGGAGGTGTGCAAGAGGCAGCTGATCGATGACTCTCTCTCAGCGATGTTTCTAGCTCTCTAGCTCTCTCCCTTCCTCTCTGTACAAAATCAATAAAATATATTTTTTTTTAAAAACACAAATTACAGATAATAGAATTAGCATACAAAGAGGTTAAAACGGCTATTATAAATATATTCCATGTTTTATTTTTTTTAAACATATTTTATTGATTTTTTTTCAGAGAGGAAGGGGAAGAGACAGAGAGTTAGAAACATCGATGAGAGAGAATCATCGATTAGCTGTCTCTTGCACACCCGCCCCCCCCCCCCCCCCCGCCGAGGATGTGCCCGCAACCAAGATACATGCCCTTGACCGGAATCAAACCCGGGACCTTTCAGTCCCCAAGCCGATGACGCTCTATCCATTGAGTCAAACCGGTTTCAGCAATATGTTCCATGTTTTAAAGAACATACAAAAAAGGAACATGTTGGAGAGAGAGGGAAAGGTAAAACTATAAAACTAGAGATCCAAAAAACTCAACAGATCCTAAGAATAATATAAAAGTAAACTACACAGAGGCAAATCATAAATTAATGGCTATAAATCAGCTGTGGGTGGTTTAGAAAAAGACATATTACATATGGAAGGACAAAAGTACAAATGACAGCAAAACTCTATGTATGTCAGAAGACAATATAACAACATTTTTAAAGTATAAGAAAAATTCTCAATCTAAGTTTCCATATCCAGTAGAAATGTCTTTCACAAATGAGGATAAAGGGGGGGTGGGGAGGGGGGAAAGAATAAGCCCTTTTTCAAACAACAAAACTAACAATTCATTGCTAGACCTGCATTACAAGTAATGTTAAAGTAAGCTTTTTTATGCAGAATAAATGAAACCAGAAGACAATCTGTATTCACACAAAGACTAGTGCTAGAATTGATAAATATATGAGAAAAAGAAATTTCTTCTCTCATTGTTCAATCTCTTAAAAAGTTAATGACTACATTTTTAAAATTTTATTTATTTATTTATTTATTTATTCCCAGAGAGGAAGGGAGCAAGAGAGATAAAAACATCAATGAAAAGAGAATCACTGATGGGCTGCCTCCTGGACAGCCCACAATGGGGACTGAACATGCAACCTAGGCATGTGCCCTGGCTGGGAATCAAACTGTGACCTTCTGGTTCTAGGTCAATGCTCAACCACTTGACCCATGCCAGCCAGGCTACATTTTAAAAAATGTATTGTATTGTGCTGAAACCGGTTTGGCTCAATGGATAGAGCGTTGGCTTGGGGACCTTATAGGTAATTAATTGTTTTTCTCTTGCTGCTTTTAATATTCTTTGTATTTTGCCCTTGGCATTTTAATTATGATGTGTCTTGGTGTGGTCCTCTTTGGATTCCTTTTGTTTGGGGTTCTGTGCACTTCCTGGACTTGTAAGTCTATTTCTTTCACCAGGTAGAAGTTTTCTGTCATTATTTCTTCATTTAGGTTTTCAATATCTTGCTCTCTTCTTCTGGCACCTCCATAATTCTGATGTTGGTATGCTTGAAGTTGTCCCAGAGGCTTCTTACACTATCTTCATATTTTTAGATTCTTTATTATTTTTGTTTTTCTGGTTGGATATTTAATGCTACTTCATATTTCAGATCTTTGGTTTGATTCGTGAGGTCCTCTAGTTGCTGCTGTGTCTCTGTATAATATATTTTATTTCAGCCAGCGTATGTTTAATTTCTAGTTTGTCCTTTTTCATATCCTCGAGGATATTGTTGAATTTATTGGTCTTTTCTAGGAAATTCTTAAAAACCTTATAACCATGGTTTTGAACTCTATAGCATCGTTTCTTTTCCTCCATTTCTTTTGTTTGTGATCTATTTCTTTGTCTCCGCATTTTCGCTGCTTCCCTGAGTTGATAGGGTGGCTTTGTGTCTTAGGTGTCCTATATGGGCCAGTGGGTCGGCCTCCCAGTTATCTGAGGTGGATACTCTTGGTGCATCCCTTTGTGCACTAGGTGCACAGCCTTGTTGTAGTTACGTTTTGATTGTTGTTGGTGTCACTGGGAGGAATTAACCTCCAGGCCAATTGGCTATGAGAACCC